GGAGAAGTGATGCTGTAATCCATCAGATAAATGTGCTTTCTTTGCTAAATATGAAATTTTTTTTTTTTTGGCATTAAACCCCAACCTTCTCCCTGTGCACCAAGCAGAACATAGAAACTTTTAAAGAGGGGAAAAAGTAGTAACCTGCCATTATTGAATGATCTCGTTCAGTCAAATGCAGAACCAACACAACCTTGAAAAATTTAACCTGCTTCTCACGCTTGCCATATCTTGGAAATAGGAAAAACTAAATAAATGGATATTCAGATTATCAAGGATCAAATTAGTGGATGGCCAAGCCTAACCTGAAAAAATATCCACTATTGATGCCTTTCTCTCGTCCCTATACTGATAAACAATGAACCATACCACTGTCAATTTAGACTATAAAAGCCAATCATTAGTTGTTTTCATGCAAAAACAAGAACACTTATCTTCTAAAAATATATGGAACAAAAGAACTCTCTCAGAAAGTGGGAAACGTATTGGCAATATGTGTCATCCTTCAATCAACTTAATGCAATCTTAAAAGAATAAACCAGTAGGCATTCGCCTTTGCCCAAGAAAACCCAGATTCCAAATTCTTAAGAACAGTTTTAAATCAATGATCTTCACAGAGGTAACATTTTAATGATGTATCACAGTACATGGGTGTATCAAGTACACACAACATACATGATGTTAACGGAGAGTACAATTCATTGCATGAACAGTACTAGATATTCATGTTTCCCTGAAGACCACACCCTAAATGTCCCAGCACTATGCTACAGATTCTACCTAAGTACAAAATCCTGTTTCATTGCACCAACACCTCAAGTGAATGTTTGTAAGCAATAAAACTTGAACTGTAAACCTTCATCACTTTTATCCACACTTCAGTTTAGCTATTAAGTTCAAACTTGTCTTTGTAAAGCGAAAATATGCATAAGATATTAATAGGTCAGTAGTTGAAGTTCCATAAGAGATATATTAGATCCCTTGAAAATATAGTTATATTAATGAAATCCTTATTTTTTCGCTGCTATACAGAGAAAGGTAACACTATTTGAGAGAATAGGTGTGGTAAGTTTCAAGATAAAATGAGTAAAAGTAATTTATGGTCTAAGCTTTACATATAATAAGTGTCAATAAAGCAAAATAGCCATCAAATTCCAATAGAAAGGAACCCAATTCAGAACTTCTACTTTGTTCTTGCCGCTTTGATAAGTTCAGTCTTCCTGCCTTGACAGAATTATTCAACTTCAGTTCCTCTATGGGAATTGGAAAATGAGGATTCGAGGCGAGAATTTAACGAACGACAAATGGTGATATTTAACAATTGGACCATTGAAAGAGTAGGGAACGAATCCTTGGTAATTTTAGCTGAATTATTTGCTAACGTTGTCACGTCTTTCTCAAAGTTCTATAGTCAAGTTATTTATTCCTGACTCATGTACTGCCTGAATCGCTGCCAGAGACATGTTTTTTCTCTTCTAACAATATGCAAGCCCTAGAAAGCATGTCATATAATGTGTTGTCAACTCAATTCATTATGGGACCAAAGAAATAAATGAAACACACTAACTAATCGATCTTTCAAGAGAGGAAACATGAAAAAAAGAAAAAAAAAAAAACAGAAGTTGCATCATAAACACAGCGAAGTGATAACTTCTCAGGGAATGTACTAATCCCAAAATTAAATTCTAATAAAAAATATTTAATCCATACAAAGGTTCCTAAAACTAAGAAATTTTAGCAAGCTAGCTAAAAATCAATTTGGAAATTGTAACATTAGGATCCAATCTAAGACACAAAATAGGTGATACATATAAATAAACTATATCTCACTCAAACTATGATATATAATTGTCAGAACAAAACAGAACAAAAGGTACCATTACCTTTTCATTGCCCTGAATACCAGATTGTTTTGATTCTATCTTTGAATGATTTCAGGTTGCATAGATTGTGCAATCCCATTGCTTAGTCCATCCTGTTTATAGACAATTCCATTGTGTGTTTGATCACCAATAGAATGAAATTTTACAAGAGCTTTATGCTGCCAATTGGGCGACTAATCACTACTCTCCTGGACAAATTCCAGATAAGATCAGCCAATGATGCCCAATTCAAAGATGAATATTTATATTAGTGAAAATTTTATGATGAGGCTCATCCTAAAAAGTTTAAATGTTTATTAATTTGGAAAAAAAAATGGAACAAATAGAATTATATTCCTAACCTAAGTTCGGAAGGACTACTATCTCCCACCTATCATTAACCTTTTCAGCAATCCTGATGAAATTGTTGAATTTGAATAGTATTTTGATTAAAATTATGAGAAGTAAAATGAATCAATAAATATTGAAATGAAAACTCTGGGAGGGCATCTAGTCTGGCTTTGGAGGCAGATTGAAGGTAGAGATTAACATAGTCAAGAAAAGACTTTACTGGAATACGTTGCCCATTAAGCTCAACCTTCACAGTCTTTCCAAGGCATCCCGCCAAGTCAATCACCCGCTTTTTCATCAGGGCAACAACATCATCTTCAAGATGAGTCATATTGAATTTTGCTAAGTCAGGCTTAAATGTAACTTTTATCCAGTTTTCGCTGTCCTTGCATTTTGTTATGATGGGCTCAGATTTCTTTCCCATATTGTTGGAGAAAACCTTCATAGGAGTGGAAGGAACTTGCCAGTTAGCAAAGCACATGAATCATAATAAGGCTTTGTAAGGAAAACTATATGTACAAACAACAGAATATGCTACCAACTTTTTTTTATAAAAAAGATTCAAATTAGAATTTACATATTAGCAGGCAAGCGAAACATGCATGGTATGACTTAAATTTGGAAGAAACCCCAGCTTAGAAGGCTTTTACAGCTTTTACAAAGTAGGAAACCAGATAGCAAGTAATAAGTTCAATATTTGATGATGTTCTGCGTTTGCTATGCTTTGTCACTGGACCAAACAAAGCAATTGACGCATCTCTCAAAGGAACCCAACAGAATTCAACACAAATGAAGGTTATGTAATTACTCCTACTATATGGTTATGATGTAAAGAAAAAACCTCAGTTTCAGACACATTAGAACAACATACCAATAACAGAACCCTAACAGAAACCTAAATTCCACATGAAAAACTTCAAAATCAAAAATCCAAGTGCTCTGTAGTCAAAGCCCCTAGTTTATTTCTATTGAATTGGATCGAATAGGATAATCAATAACCAGAATTTTAAAAAAATAAAATAAAATAAAATAGAATTCAATATCTTCATTGACCCTAAAGTAAAGATATGCCTGCATTGTATAGATAAACATCCAAGCATCAATAATTGCAAAGCAACCCTCAAAGTATCAGGAAAACCCCAACCTCAATTCCACTCTGTAATCGATTTACTTGACTGATTATTGACAATAATCAGTCTTTACCATTACCTCAATTCCACCAACAAATATCGATTTACTTGAAGCATAGAGAAGCATAGAGAGAGAGAGAGAGAGAGAGGGATAGAGGTACCGGAGAGCTCCCATGGGGGTTCGAAGCAGAGAGAGAAAGAGAAGACAGCGGCGTCAATGTAGAATTTGAGGAAGCTGATGATGATGACGGTGGCTGTGGTGTTGGAAACCCTAGCCTTCGGTGACCCAATCGAAGCACAGTGTCGCGATTCACAATCGGAAACCCTACCTTGCGAGTGGGAGGATTGCGACTTGAAGACACAGAGAGAATGTGGGAGAGGCAGAAATGGAGGCCAGCGTCGGGAGCGAGCGCAAGAGGGAGGGTAGGAAAGAAGAACAGACAGGGAGAGAGAGACAGAGAGGGAATGGGAGGAGACGAGTTAAACCAAATTACCCTAATCTGGGTTCGATTGATGCTCGATTGATGCATCAACAGTGTGTGAAGTAGAAAATTACCCCAATCTGCAATTTTTTTTTTCTGAAATTCAATTCCCGCCCCACGATTTAAATTTCCTCCCCAAACTTTTGGCGACCAAACTCTCAAATTAGTCGCAAAAATAGGTTCTTTCGCCGACAAATTTTTTTAGTCGCCAAATCTCAATCAACGGCGACTAAAATATTAGTCGCTAAAAGTATTAATTTGGCGACTAATTTTTTTTGGTTGCTGAAAATAAGTTTTTCGCAACTAAATTTTTGGTCGCCAGAAAATATGTGACCTTCCGCGACCAAATTTGTAGTTGGTCGGCAAAAGTATACCACTTTCTGCGACAAACATATTTTTTGGTCGCCAAAATATAACCTTCTGCGACCAATTAAATTTGGTCGCCAAATTAATGATCATTCGCGACTAATTAATATTTGGTCGTCAAACGTAATTTTTTTGCGACCAAAATTTTTTTAGTCGGTAAAAGTGGTCGCAAAATGTGTAAATTCTTGTAGTGAATTCAAGAACCTCATTTGATTGTAAAAATTCTTGTAGCGCATTCGAGTTTATGTCATGAATCATGATTAGCAAACAAATATACTTCTCTCCTCCACATTTGTGGTAATACATAAATTAGCACAAAAATTAACCTCACTTTCAACAAGTGTCACAACTAATAACTCATTTTTGATAAATTCATATTTTATTTATGACAAACTAACACTCAAGATAACTATATCATTATTACTAAAATAATAATCTATTCATTTATATGATTATCAAACGATTTAACGATTTTTATCCAATTAAATAGAACGACACATTATTTAAATGATCATATTTAAATTTTTATAATGTCAACAACTGTTATGCTACTACCACAACCAAAAAAGGACATCATTTACACATGAAATACACTCTCTTATAAGAGATCTAACAGTGGCAACATTGATATAAACATCATCCCAAATTAATTGAAATATACCCATGTAATTATTAATAATATTGTAATAAATAGTTCACTTATAATTTTCCAATTGTTATGCATCGTATTATAATTTATTTAATAATAAATTGATGATGAGATGCCAACTATATACATACAAATAAAAGGAAGCATATCAACAAATTAAAACAACACTTATCATAAATTGAGATTTAAGATGTACCGAAATTATACACCGACTTTACACATAATAAGTGAATGCTTTGACAAAATAAACTTGAAAAGTTATACCTTTTCATAAAAATGACATCACTGAAAAAAAATAATATCAAACAAATTATAAAATAAAACACTTCTTATAATAAATAGGCAATGATATGATATGTACATAAATGAGATTTGTACAAGATAAATAAAAATTTGAAACAAAAACCAGATTTTGTCTAGATTAAAATGTAAATTAAACTCGTATTCTGAAATCACAAACATGAAATTCGTGAAAATCATATTGTAAATTATGTTTAAAACAAACCAATTTTACTTGTGTAAAACCTCAGAAATTTTAGATTTGTATAACAAAACAAAAATCACTCACGGAAATTTTTGATTTGAAATAAATTCTGATAAATTTTATAAATTTGAACTACAGTCTATTTATACCCTTACATAAAAAAGCTTCTCTCTCTAAACTTTGAGAGCTTCTCTCTCTACACTTTTCTTTTCCTAGGGTTTCAAAGCTTGTAGCCACCGGCGTTGGGGGAGGGGGTTTCCGGCGGCCTCCGGCCTCCTCTCCCCCTCCCCGTACCCCTCCTTTCTCTCTCTTTTACTTGCTTTGCTACAAATAACTTGGAAGCTCTTGCTTTCCACCCTCTCCCTCCTTTGTGAGGTGTTTCCTCCCTCCCCTCCATCAACTCCGGGAGTGGCTTCACGGATTTGCCACCACCACCACCTCCACCTCCGCCGGTTTCTTAGCCCTCTTCCCCGCCGCCTTCACCTTTGTCGGACTCGCCGACGCCACTACTGATGGTAGTTTGATTGGATGTGGATTTGGGTTTTGTTTTTGTTTTGTTTTTATTTATTTTTTTCTTTTGTGTGTTTGTTGATTTGGGTTTGTCTGGTTTGAAACCCTCGGTTTTGGGTTTGTTTGGCTAATTTTCTTTGAGTCCATCAATGCAGATTTGTTTTAACTTACCCCCTCTGTGATTGGGATCTATGATATATCTTGAACATGCTCTATTGCCGAACTTTTATGATCGGCTCTGCTTTGCAGTATGAGCACAGACACGTAATGTAGGTTCGAATATTGTCATAGTTTTTTCTTCCTATGTGCTTCTCACTTTATTTTCACTTTGTTTGGTGTAAGTTTTGGGTTGGATGGACTCATGTAAATGCCGTTTGGCTTCTTGAATGAAATATTTCTTCCGATCAAAAAAAGAAAAAAAAGAAAAAAAGAAAAGAAATGAATGTGATGCAATCATGATGTGATTCCAATGAAGCAATCTATCTATTGTATTTAAATATACAAAAGATGCAACAATTTATATATGGAGAAACAGAATGAACAGGCAAGACTTGAATTTCAATAAAATTTGACCATTACTTACGATATATCAAAAGATATCTTCCACTTCTGACTTTAAACGGTACACACAATCAAATATCGAAATACATCCAAATCTAACTAAACATTAAACTGACAAATGGTGAAAAATATATCCCAATTCTGTGTGTAAAAACTCTGAACCTGTTCTGGTATTTTGTTTATGAGCAAAATAAAGAAATCTAAAACCAAACCGTGCAACAACATTGTGTAACAGAAATAGAAATGAATTTTGTCTAAAACAGATTTAAAATGAATTGTATAATCACAATTGAAACTAAAATTTGTCTGACAACAAATCTATTACAGAACTGTTATCTAGAACAATACATTAGTATATTGGAAAAGATAAATATGCAATACAATTCAACTTCAACACAATTTCAGATAAAAAATTAACAAAATTTATCGATTCTATTACCAGGGAAAAGATGCAGTCGCAATACTAGAGTTCTACCGAAAGCAGGAAAAAAACTTTGCAAGAAAGCAAATTTGCAAAAAAATTAATTTAACTGAAAGGAATTAATCTGTATCACTATAGATAGTAAATTCTGACTTAAAAATTATAGGAAAATATTTTCAGAAAACAATTTAATGTAAATAAATAATAAAATAAAACACAATAAATTCTTTACAGAAATTCTGTAAACTTAGTATAGATTGTGACCGAGGCCAATGTTTGAATATTGTGTCTTTAAGATAGAATTTTGCCCTTGCCTCTGGTACTTGCGATTAATGGACGTCCTGCCTCTAGGATACAAGATCACCCCATACAGAAATTGCACAATTTTTTGTGTGTACAACGAACTAATTTGTGTCATGCACTCTCTGTTATATACTCAACTAGACATAATCTATGAATCCTAAAACAAACCTTAACTTATGCAATAATGCCATGGGATGGGATGGGATGGTACTTATAGAAGTACTTGTGATCTTTAGAATAGTCATATCTATTCGGTTCACACCCTTTCATACGAATAGGCACCATGAAAGATTGCATCATTTTATTCAAATGGACTCTAATTCCATTCACTTAAAAAAATTTCCAACACTAACATTCTTGTACATACACCACCTAAACCATTCGTTACACAGAGAATCAATGGTTTAGACCCATTTTTTATTCCACCTACATTGAAGACATAGCGACATCAAACTCTATTGAAGAAGATCCACGGTGACTCCATTAAAGACTCGTTGCATTGTTGAAGGTGAGCATCTCCCTCCCATTTTGTTAATTCATAATTCTTGTTATGTGTGAAAAGTGCAAAATCAAGGAAGTTCAAATATCAAATAAAGAATGATGCTTGGTTGCTAACAAAAGCAGATGAAGTTGAAGTTTTTATGTGCATTTTTATTTATTTATTTTTTTGCCAAATTTCGTAATTCGGCAAAGACGTTCCATCCTAGTGCCGAACATGTGTTTGATATCAAACTGCCGAAATATTTATATCGAAAGTCAAGTTCTGAATTCAGGATATTAAACAATGTATAGAACTCACTTCGGGGAATTTTAAGATTTATTTTGGAAATTAAGTTGTCGATTTACATGTTTTAGTTCAAAATCAAATAAACTTTCATCCAAATAACCATACCAAAGTGAACCAAATGGATTTCTTCCAAGAAAATGGGGTTGATGGAAATAAGAAAATAAAGGAGTTCGGTTGAGGGTCTTAGATTAGAGTAGGTCCGTTCTGTTCTCCAAATAACGCGGGGTTGTGCCCCTTGGTGGGTGTTCAATTCACTCAGGTGTGTGTGTCCGTGGATGTGTTCATATGAGATCCCAAGATGTGAATCTGGCCAAGACATATCTAATGGTTGGAG